AGAAATACATCTGGTGCTGGAGCCAAAGCTCTTCCAGGTCACACTTCAGATTTGGTGAGTGTGATCACCTGTATACAAGCAGACGTTTTGCTCTTCTGCTGGTCTGGAGCATTCAGGTGTGCACTAACACAGAAATCTGCCAGCAAGTTCACCTCATAGTCAGACCATGCAAAGCTCAGAGGTGTGAAAAACCCAGGAGCTCCATCTCAGATCGTACAGGCCTCAGTTAATAAGTTATATGCTACAGTTCATGTCAGTACGATTGGGGAAAGTATGGCTTTTTTGTATGATTGCCAGAGAACATGGCACTACAGATAAGTCGTGTGTGAATAAACCACAATGTCCTTTGGACAGACTAGGTTAAAGTAGTGATGCCTGCTAGAATGCACAGTGAAAACAAAACACAACACATCTGATTTTGCAGCCAGAGGACCTCGGTGCAACCAAAGCACAGCTAGAGCTATCTGTCTGGTAGCTAAAGCTTGACCAAAATTGTGTCATACAGACACTGTAATAAATGATATTTTACACAGACTGTGTATCTACTGTATGCAGACATGCATCGTGTGGAAGGAGAAAAATCATAACGTATTACTTTAACATTTTGAGGTATTTGGTAGGAGACAAAAATCAGCCTCTGCTGTACAAATCTACCAAATCAAATATTTGTGAATAAGGGAGCAGCCAAAAGTAGCTGTTGCTTGTTAAATAGTCAGTATGAACAGATTGTTTTTAGTTTGGGTTTGTGGTTGTCTTCTACTAGAAGTGTCAGAGTGCACTAATGTTTGTTATAAATGCTTTTAAACCAAAAAAGCCAACTGCAAGTTGTTCAGCTCCTGTGCCTGCAAAACCAATGATCACCCCTCCACCACAGCTGGTGCTGATGTGGTGTCTTTGGTTTTCTCCAGTGTGGTGGTGTATCTTATAGCTAAACATCTCCATTTTGGTCTTATCTGTCCAAAGGATATTGTTCCAGACATTGTGCGGTGTGTTCAGATGTGCTGACATTTTCATAATAGCGAGATGGGGCTTTCTCCTGGCAACTCTTAGAATTAGTCAATACTTGTTCAGTCTGTTTCTAATTGTGCTGTCATGAACTAGCATTTAACATATTAACGCAGGCCTGTAGAAGCTGAGATGTTTCTCTTGGGATTTTTGCACTTTCTCTGAGGATTGCATCGTCTGATCTTGGAGTAAATTTAGTGGGACATCCACTCCCAGGAAGATTGTGTTATTAATGCACATCTGAATGCTCCAGACTAATATACTGCCAAACTGTCTGCATGTATAGAGGTGTGCACACGCAGGAGCAGATGGCTGCTACCCTGTACCCATAGAAGCAGTAAGGACTCTGTGCATACAAAAACACGGATCCATTCCAGCCAAAGTAATCAAAATAACTGAGTACATGTAAAAATGACCTAATACATGTAACTGATTACAATTAGCTGTCTCACCTGTAGAATATGAGCTTCTGTTCACACATGTGACAAAACAGTTATAATAGTTACATGAATAGTTATTTTAAACTGGTTGGATTCCCAGCATGGTCCTGGCTTTTAAGTACAGTCCCCACATCGTTAAGGTCGGGGCTTTAGGAAGGCTAACTTCTGGCTAAAGCTATTTGCATATCTCTTTGTCAGCAAGTAACTAGTTTCCATTCTTGCTATCTTTTTCCTGTCCTGTGGTCCAGGTTCTCTATGGAAAGGTGAACGTCCGCTGCTTTGACAAGCTGGAGCAAAACCTGGCTGTAACCACAGTCCCACCCGTATTTGACCCCCCGGTACCCCCGCTGCAGATGACCTCCGTGTGGCGTGCCGTGCTCCGCTCAGTGGTTGAGTACTCAGAGAACAGTGGGCCATGTCTGCTCACTCCTGTGCGGGATAACCTTCACCAGATCGACGCAGTCGATGGGCCCGCCGCCTTCCTGGACATCCTGGCTCCTCCGTACAACTCAGATGATGGGCGAGACTGTCACTATTACAAAGTCCTGCAAAGTGCACTGGAAGATGAAACCGATGCAAAAGGTCACCAGGAGCAGCAGGGAGAGAAGGGGAAGGAAGAGGAGGTGTGGCTCTTAGAAATCCCTCAGCCGGAGGATTTCTGGTGTGGTGGGGAATCATACCCAGGGCCTGCAGTGTCTGTGTAATAGAAGCCTGTGCTCGAAAGGAAACACACTACAAAGTATTACAGACGTGTTTGTTCTGCCATCTTCCAGAAGGAAAACCATAATCACCTGGAAGTTACCTGGACTGACTGCCTTGCTCTTGGTTAAGGATAATATATTAGTGCAGAGGTATACACAGGCTTAAACTGACTTAAATAAGGACATAAGGACAACTGAACAGCCTTCCACAAATATCCCTGTGGTATTGGGAAGTGTTATCCCGGGGAATTCTCATTCCTAATATGGTGTTTTCCTTCGGATCATTATGTTGCCGTGTACACTTTGTGAATGGTGGGGTATCATTAGGATCTCTGCTGCAGAGAGCCTCCACATTGCCAAAGCCTGCAGCTCTCCTGTCTGCCTTATATGTGAATACTGAATGTACACTTATGAAGAAGGCCATGTACCCACTCACTGCACACATTATATTTACGCTTTCTTTTTACTCTTTTCACTTATCCATGACATGCTTCCTAAACAGGTTTGGTCAGTTATTAGAGGAAAGAAAAAAGCAGTTTTTACAAACATGGCTATGGCTAAGTGCTGGAAATGGAAGATGTATTGGATAACTGTAATATTTTAACCATTTTCACTGTCTTTGACGTGTATCCTGCGTATGTCACCTGAGCTTATGTCTGGAATTTCCTTCGGCCTACATTTGACTCCACACACATTTGTGTCAGTATGACCATGATGCTGTTACTGTGATGATGAATGTATGTGGAGCAATAAAACAGATGAAGATGCTCACAAATAAAAAATGTCTTTTATCGTTAATAGAGTTAATAGAAATCTGACGAAAGTTACTATATTTTGGGAGGAGGGTGGGTGCTAATCAGCAGAAACCTGCCTGGCCTGTCAGTGACCTGCCTGAGTGTAGTCTGCAGTGCTGATCCTGAGTGGAAATGCTGTTGATGGGCTGTTTTGACCCAATCAACAGAGTGTATTTCTCCAGAATGCCTGCAGAAACTCGTGCTGTTATGGTCCTGGCTCAGTGACCAAGTGTTTTGAGTTTTTGTATCATTATTGAACTTTGATTTTGTCTTTGTTTATCTTTTCTAGTTTTTGGTTTCTGTGTTCCATGGTTGCTGTTCCCTCCTAGTCAAGTTATGTTTCCTGTTTTACTTTGAAAGTCTGTGTCCTATGTAAATGTATTGAGTTTTGCTTCCTGTCTCGTCTTGTCAATTACTTCCAGCTGTGTTGTCCTTCTGTGTGTCATTCCCTCGTTATCCCTCTGTGTATTTAAGCCTCTGTTAGCTGCTGGTTCGCCTGTGTGATCTCCCTCCTTCATCTTATGTTTTCCCTCCGTGTCTCTCTGCGTCTCTGTTTTTGGCTTCAGGTTTGTTTTGTTAGTTTTATTCTCGCCTTGCTGTTTCTGTTTGTTTTCTCCTACCTCTTAAAATAAAGCTTACTCGCATCAAAAGTTGCTTCTTGGGTCCTACTTCCAACCTCCACTCGTCTGCCGCTGCCGACGTGACACGTACAGTATTTTGCAATATTCACAAGCCACTGCTGATTTTTCTTATTCTGTTAGGGAAAGTAGAAGCATATGGAAAATAAATAGAAATACAGTGTATAAACAAAAATAATCACCTTTATTCTTCATCTGAACTCTTCTAGCGAAGCTTTCTAGTAATTTCTTTGAGTCTTCAGGAATAGTTCTCCAGACTCTTTGAAGGATATTTTTTCTTTGGATGCCTTTTTGTTTTCTGTCATCCCATGATTCTGAGGTTTAATTATGTCGCACAAAATCATAACAACAGTTGCCTAACGGTGCTTAAATTGTAAGTTAAAGACCAACAATAAGAGAAAACAGTAAAAATGAGCGATGAGAACCGCGTTGGGAACAGTGGGAGATAAAACACCCTTTTTGTTCTTCATGACAGCCAACCT